GCGGCGCACTGATTACAATGCCCGAGCAGCGCTGCCGATGTCGACGTCAGCGCAGGACGAGCGATGGGTTAGAGGGCGGGGCAAGGGGTGTACCTGCATAAATGTGCAATGTGCGTGGAGTTGGCAGTAGTCAAAGTGCGGGCACACACACACAAACACACACACGCACACGCACACACAGACATACAATGCAATATATTTTCGCTTTGGCATTTGTTGCGTTTCGAGATGTTTGCTTGCACTGTAATTTAGCAGTGTGTGTTGTGTGTGTGTGTGTGTGAGTGTGATTGACAGTTGCCCCATTGATAAGGGCATGCGCTGATGGTGGCAAGGGAGAGTTGGGGGAGGGGAGGGTGGTGTGGCTGCTGCGAGTGAGTCGTTTCATATTTTTTATAATTAAAATGCCGGCTGCCTAAATGCAGTCAAAAGTTATGCGAGTCCGAAAAAAAGTAAGCAACAACAAAAAAAAAGCCACAAAAAAATGATACGCATACGCAGCTAAACAACAACAGAGAATGGCGGTGGGGGGAGAGGGGAGGTATGAACGACGACGATGACGCTGCATAAAATGCAAGCCCAGCGACAGTTGAGAGGCGGCCCAAAGGTATGCTACGAAAAAATATTGCATAAAAGCTACAGCAACAACAAGAAGAAGAACAGCAACAACAACAACAATAACGACGACGACGACGACGACGACGCAGGCAGCGGGCAGGCAAATGAAAATGTGAAGGCGATGATGTAGAAGGAGAAGGAGAAGCTGCATAAGCACAAAAGTGCTGCGAATGAGCCGCAGCAGCAGCTGCACGCTAGGGAGCGAGAGAGAGATAGAGAGAGAGAGACAAAGAGAAAGAGAGAGAGAGTGCGGGGGGCGCAGCAAGTCAGACACGCGGGTAAGTGAGTGAGTGGAAGAGGCTTACACAGAGAAAACAGAAAAATAAAAATAAAAAAAAAAGATATTTGTTTCAAAATTAAATACGCACGTGTACATGTGTATGTATGTGTGACTGCAGTAGCTATGTGTGTATGTGTGTGTGTGTGTGTGCGCGCTTCAGGTAAAATGAATGCAAAGCGTAAAAGAAAGCAAAAGTTGTTGCTGTGTTGATTTTGTCTCTTTGCGCTTATGTGCCGTTATTATTTTTATTATTCTTATAATTTCTAGACGTTCCCATGCACAAGGGGAAGCGAGCGCAGGGCAAAGAACAGCAACAAAAACGAAAGCAAAAACAAAAACCAAAAAAAAGGAAAGTGTAAAAGCAAAAGTATTTGTGCTGCGGCTGGCTCAGGTCTGCCGCAATGCCAAGAGTCGAAGCGGCAAATTGCATGTGACACACGCACACACACACACACACACGCACGCTCACAGTAAGGGCAGCCATTTGCATATGTATGCGTGCGTGTGTCAGCGTCAATGTCCGACAACGACTCCAGACGCGCGTGTGTGTTGCCTGCTACCTTTTTATGTGAGCATTCTTTTACTTTTTTGTTTGCAATTTATTTTTGGTTTTTGTTTTTTAGATAAAATTTTATTTGAATTTATGCACATCTGCATATGTGTGTGTGTGTGTGCGTGTGTGTGTGTGGCACGAATGCGCTACGTAAAGTTTTTGAGACATAAGAGGCTTTAGCTGAAGTTTGTCGCTTTAGACTTCCGCAAAGAAGTTTATCGATGTTCGATAACAAAGCACTTATCGATACATTTTGAGTTCGATATTGCTGGATATAGTTAGAAAAACGGTATGCCAATTGCCATATATGCAAATTCAATAGTCACATCACATATTTATCGTTATCGATAACTGGCGAACGTTTGTAGCGCCCTCTATCGGCTTGACTAGTCGCATCTGTCGTGTGGTTCGACTTTCTGACTGCATTTTTAGCAGCTTGCAACGTTCGTTGCGTTGCGTTGGGCTCGCGCACACAGGACGTTATCCTCTGTGTGTTTCGTGCAGCATTCGCCCCTGCCCCTTGCCCCTTGCCCCTTGCTCCAAGCTTGGCTGAATGTGCGTCGCTTAAATTCGTCAAGCGTTGCAACAAAGTGCGTTTTGTACTTTTTCTTTGCACTGGCGACGTCGTCATCGTTGACGTTGTTGACGAGAGCACGGCGAAAAAAAATACATGTGGAAGAGGATTCGCAGCACACACACACACACACACACACACACACACACACACACACACAACACGCATACGCAGGAGCAGAGCCAAGAAATATAATAAAAACGACAGCAGCGACTATTTGTTGTTTTTGTTTTTGCTGCTTGTTCGCAAAAAAGGGCAGAAGCGTCGACATTTCAGCAATGAGGAGGGTTTGAAAAGGGGGTTGGGGGGTACCGAAAAAGGAACAACATAAACACAAAAATAGGGGAAAAACAAAAAAATGTAATGTGAAAATATATATTTGCCGGAAGCTAAATGTTTTACCAGTTTTTATGCAGTCGGCGCTGCGCTGCTTACGTTATCCTTCAAAATCGCAAGTACAGTTGCGTTCGCTGCGCCTAAATGCGAGCTTCAAGCGTTTCCACTTGCTTCCAAAATGTTCAAATTGGAAATAATAAACGAAGAAAAACCCGGCAAGCAGCTGCTTTTATTCAAAGACTCGAATTTCCATGTCGGCAAATCAATAGAACTATTCAAATTGAAATATTGTAATGTGTTTTATTTAATTATTTTCATGTTTGTTTACTTTTCTTTTTCGGCATTTTTTCCATGTTTGCATTTTGTATTGTTGCGCAATTGTGTAATAAATTATGTGCATGGGCTGCTTGCCAAAAAAAAAAGAACAAACAAAAAATGCGAAGCACGAAACGACAAAACGTTGCAAGGGCCCAAATATGAATGTTCAACACATGTGCGACTCTCTATGCGCTTCTCACAAGGCAAACTGAGGTTAGGTTAAGCTAGAATTTAAATGAAAAAAAAATATATAACGTGTATATATCACAGTTCAGCTGGAACAGTCAGGTTTGAGAGCCGTGTTAAGTAAATGGTCATGGGAGCTATGATCTAACGTATTGCATCTGGCATTGAAATTGTTATGTTTATTTTAATGCCAGATGCAAAAAAGTTTACAAAAGTTTTAAATAAATTTTAAAACACACTTGAATTAGCTTCAAGGATTCGTACAGCAACCAGTTGTTCGTCTTTCTGTGCCAGAGCATAGGGTTCATGCCAAATTGGATCAGGTAGAGCTGGCTGGTGCCGGCCATATTGAAAATTATGGTGTCGTTAACATGCAACTGCAACTGCCACGAACAACAAGAAGTGGAAGAAGCAGCGGGGTCGTAGTAAAAAATTAAATTAAAATAGAAAACAAACTCAACATGGTCAGCAAATAAATAAAAAATGGGCAGGCCAAAAAACATGGCCAAAGCAAAATAGAAGCGAATTGCAAGCGGAAATTGCTAGCAATGTTGTGCGAGTGTGCATATATATATATATATAAATATATATATATATATATATGTGTGTGTGTGTGTGTGTGTGTGAATGTGTGTAAAGTAACAAAATCCGCTTGCCTCACAGAAAATAAAAAGAAGAAAAAAAACTACATTAAGAACCAATGCAAACTAAACTGAAACCTAAAAGGAATATACAAAAAATAGGAAGAAAATAGAAAAAGAAATGGCATTTAGCTGTGCGTAAACTTATTGCACAGAGTGTTTACTGTAGAGTGTGCATATATATATATATATATATAGATATATACATGTAAGTATATTGTATATTGTGTAACTATACAGACATGTGTGTGTGTGTGTGTGATAGAGATAGCAAATTACGTATACGAGTAAACGAGTAAACGAGTGTGTGAAAGAGAGCGCACTACACATGGAAACACAACAACAACAACAAATAAAGTAAAAATATATATATATGTAGATATATAGACGTATACAAAGAGAACTTCAACTGAACAACTAACATTAAAAATATATATATATATATATATCTTATTTGCTTATGGTATTTAATAATTTTTTGTTGGTTATGTAAGCTTTACTTGTTAAAAAATATTTTGTTTTGTATATACGAGTATTAATTGAAAAAAAGAAAGTATATAAATATATTGGATATATGTATATATGTATAGGTTAAATATATATATATATATAAATATATATAAATATATATATATATATATATATATATATATATATATGTATATACGATTATATATATATAAGTATATATGTATAGATTTATATGTATATATATAGGTATATATAGGTATATAAATTCATAGACAAAGAACACGACGAAGAGCAAAAACATGTGTTGAGTTTTTTGATTTGTTTTCTTTGCTTAGATTTGGTAATGTTTTTTTTTTTTTTTTGGTATTTAATTCTGGATACATAATATAATTTTGATATATATAAATATGCAATGTATATAAATGGCAGGTATATAAACGACAGACAGAGAGAGAGAGAGAGAGAGAGAGTGGTGGGGGCGGGGGGGAGATAGAGCAAATTGAATACGTATTATTGTGTTGAAGTTAAAAGTTTAACAGAAATGTTGAGTATTTTGAATATTGACTTTTAAATTGAGGGAAAAGAGATAGTTAAAGAGAGGGAGGAAGAGAGAGTGAGAGAGAGAGAGACGGGGGGAACAGACAGAGCGTGTAGCCATAAAGGAGATGTATTATGTGGGTACTAATTACGTATTCAGTTTAGATAGTTAGCATTCTATCCAGATGGTAAGGTCAATTTTTGGCTCAGATTGCTCTGAGAGAGAGAGAGAGAGACAGAGAGATTGTCAATACGAATTTGTTTGTTTGTCTTTTGTTTTGATTTATTTATTTTTTTTTTTGAAGACCTATCGAAGCAGCAAAAGCATTCACTGAATGGATTTGGAAAGGGGTTAGGGGTTACGGGTTACGGAATATGTTTTCGTCTGGTCTGTGTGAGACGGGGGCTTTCGGGCTTTTGGGTATTGGGGTTGTGGGGCTTTGGCTGGATGGCTGGGTTTTGCTGGAGATTCGGTTATTCAACACTTACCGACTCGTGCGAGGCGCGGTAGTCAAGGTCGCCGCCCAGTCCGCCGCCAGCTGATGCCGAACGAGGTTGCATGTGTCTACTGTGACTGCTGTTATCATCCTCACTGCAATCGATCTCTTTCTTGAGGCTCTGCAAAGACGAAAATTGAATTGATTATTAATATATAATTTGAAGCTTTAAGTGTGAAAAGAAGTTGCCTAAGAAATACTGTAAAACAAGTGCCTGAAATAACTAACAAAATTATTTCTTAACTACTTCTAAGGCGTCTGCAAGCAGCGCTTTAAGCAACATAAAGTGAAATATATAAAGGTTACAGCAAAAAGCTGTCATTAATAACTAATCAATGTGCATTTAACAGCATGAGCTTAACAGAATAAACTCAACATTTTGAGGTTAACAGTGTCGGTAATAAATAGTCTAACATTGTATCAATAATGGCATAATGTTGAGAATTTACAGCGTAATGTTAACAGATTCACTTTAACAGTATGTTGATAACAAAGGGAAGTAAAGAGAAGCAAGTATTTAACAGTAGATTCAAACAGCTAATAATCAAAGTTAACAGTATGAAGTTGACAGTGTATCAGCATCAGAGTATAGTTAACAGAGCACCGTTTGAAGCTTAACATTAACAGCGTTAAATGAACAGTTTAAACAGTCTGTTGATAACAGAGTGAAGCAAAGAGAGTTAGGAGAACAGCAAGTTTTCTTGTTTGCAAGCAATTCAAATAGACTTGTTGACTTGGTTTTAAACAATTTAAATGCACAGATTCGGAATGTTAAGCACAAATAGGTAGGCCACGTTAACCTGGCTAGAGGCTAGCTGGGCGATGACTTACCAATGGCACCGATTGCACTGGCAAGAGACCGGCTACGGAGCCGGGATTCAATAGGCTGCTGGAGCGCCCCTCGGCGACGTTGCTGCCGTCGCGGGATGAACGCGACGCTGGACGCCCCGACTGTGCCATCGATAGACTTAGATCGGAGGCGCCGGCGCCGGGCGTGGAGCGGGCCGATTCCATAGCGGCGGCTGCGGCGGCAGCTGCTGCCGCGGCTGCTGCCGCCGACGATGAGGGCATGGTCATCAGCGGCGATGGTATAACGGTGGAGCCCGTGGAGAGATCGACGCCGCCGCTGCTCATCTTCATGTTGAGGCCCATATCGTTGCTGCTATTGTCCGCCTCATCGTCATCGTCCAGATCCATTTCGTCGTCGTAATCGTCGTCGAGCACTTCGGTCTTGGGCTGCAGACCGCCGACAACAACGCCGCCTGGCGAGTGCAGCAGCGTCTCATGCGCCGCCGGCAGCTCCACATCATCATCCTCGTCGTCGTCCTCATCCTCGTCCTCACCATGCGCTCGCCGCGCCCTATGATGCGCAATGCGTTGCGCAATATCACGCGCTGCTGCTGCGGCGGCAGCCGCACTGGAGCGATCGACAACAACCACATGCTCGTCCGAATCATCCATATCATTGTCATTGTCGTTCGGCTCATCCTCATCGTCATCATCGTCGACGGCCACGACATGGCTGCTCGGCTCGGGTGCTGCGTTTGCGGCGCAGTCGCCGTTGCTGCCGCTGGGCGAACCTGCGGTTGAGGAGGAGCATGTGGCCTTCATTTGGTTGTTGCTGCTGCTGTTATTGTTGTTGTTGTTGTTGTTGTTGCTGTTGCTGCTGTTGTTGTTGTTGTTGCTGCTGTTGTTGTTGCTATTGCTGCCGCTGTTGTTGTTGTTGTTGTTATTGTTGTTGTTGTTGTTGCTGTGGCTACTCGCGGCGCTCTCTGGCGGCATAGCTTGTGGGTCAGCGGACGCAACGGCGGGTCTTTGATAGAGATCTAGCGGCATAGGTGTTTCCTCCTCCAGCTCCTCCTCCAGCAGCTCTTCCTCCTCCTCCTCATCATCATCATCATCCTCATCGTCATCATCCTCCAGCAGCTCAATGGCCGCTGTGCTGCTGCTCGCTGGCCGCTTCGGCGGCGTTGGGCTGCAGCGTTCGCTTGCCTCACGCTTTGACGCCGACGTCGCCGACGTCGACGCCGACGCCGACGCCTCAGTCGCTGAGGTTGCTGGCGTTGAGCCCGATGCGGCTGTTGTTGCTGTGGTTGTTGTTGTTGCCGTTGTGGCTGCTGTTGTTGTTGACGCTGCTGCTGCAGCCGCTGCTGCTGCCGCTGCTGCTGCCGCTGCTGCTGTACTGCTGCTTGTAGAGGCAGCTGCTGTCGCTGTGTTGTCCGCAGCTGCTGCCGCTGCCGACGCTGCTGCTGCTGCTGCGGCTGCTGCTGCGGCTGCTGCTGTTGTAGTTGCCGCTGTTGTCGCGGTTGTTGAGCTGGGAGCGGACGCTGCTGCTGTGGCATCCAGGGCCGCTGCCGCTGGACTATCGGCCGCCTTGCTGGCGCCTGCGCCGCCGCTGGCCTGCGAATGGGGACGCAGTCGATCCGGTTCCCGTTCGGGCTCCCGCAGCGTTGTATTCTGATTTGTCATCTCGGCTAGGCCTTTAACCTGTCGGAAGGACATCCGATTAGGGTCAACTGGATCTAATTGGGCCCACAAGTGGGCCAGTACTCACCTTGAGTGATTCGGCTGTCTTGAGCAGCGCTGGCAACTGACAATATTGCACGTTCACTTCGCCCTTGTACATGAATTCAACTAGAGTTTGCAGCTCGGCAAAACGGACGTCCTTCAGTATCACAATTGGATGTGGATCGGAGTGCTGCAGAAACAGGCTCTGGAAATACGAGGAGCAGGCCGAGAGGACCACCTGTAATGCAAAAAAAAATTAAAGAAAATTGAGTAAAACATATTTTTATTCAAAATAAATTAAGTACGCACTTGCGATCGATTTGACTGGTAAAGTTCAAAGTAAATATAAATTAGTCTAATAATGTTGATTGTAAATGAAAACTTGACAGGTAAGGGTCATTGTAAATGAAAGTTAGAATGATAAAGTTTATTGTAAATATACATATTTTATTAGCAAAGTTCGTTGTTAATGAAAATTTGAGTAATAAAGTTCATTGTCAATGAAAATTGGACTGGTTAAGCTTATTGTTCATTGCAAATTCAAATGTGACTGGTGAAGTTCATTGTAAATACAAATGTAACTGATAAAGTTCATTGTAAAATAACAATTGTATTGTAATCAATTGTAAGTGAATATTTGACTAATAAAGTTCATTTTAAATAAAAGTTTGACTAGTAATGTTCATTGTCAAAGAACATGTGACTGATGTGATTAATTGGTCTTTAAATTAACAATTGCCATTATTTTGCCAATAATATAGTTTATATACTTTTATACTTCTACGACTTATATACTTGTCGCAAAACTTATCCCATACTAATTTCGGAATTTAACAAAACTATACAAAACTTTCCTCTCCTTTAAAATAAAGGCTCATCCAGCTTTCTCAACTCGTTACATAATATCATGAAACATTATCTTATTTCGCCCTAAACTGGAAATGTACTCGAATTACGAATGTAAAATTAACTTGCGGATATAAAAATGAATACTATTTAAGTTATGACTTATTCTCAAGGTTTTGGCATCGTAATTTTCAAAATGGCATTGCAAATGCTTAAGTTCAGTTGCAGCATTCACATAAAAATAAACCACCTGCTTAAATGATCTTCTGAGCATAAGTTAAGGTTTATCGATAGAGTATATCGATTGGACATTAGAAAGCAACTCGAATGCTGGCACCCAACTGCAAGGCGCGTCTATGTGAGCTCCACTTGCTGGAATGGGGAGGGGAGGTAAACATTTATTAGATTTACGATCAGCGTGGGGCAACACGGCTCCGCTTTGAAGATGCAGCCACAACTGAGGCCAACTGGTCAACTGGCTGCGATGGCTGCGGGCGTCAAGGCGTGAACACGCCACCAATGACAATGCGCTGCCAGCAACTGGCGGCAACTGGAATGGGAGCAACGGCAACGGCAACGGCAACTGCTGCAACTGCAACACTTGCAACACTTGCAACAACAGCAACAACAATCTGGCCGCATATCTGTCGATTTTTATGTGCGCTTGCACGCCTTGGGGTATGCAATGGAGCTGGGGCAGCAGCTCGCAGGGGATGCAGCAACAGGCGTTGCGTAGCAGAGTTTCGGGCAGGGGTGGGGTGCGGTGGGCTGTCTGATGGGGCATGTTGTAAATTTTCATGGCTTGGCAAATTGAAAAGGCGTCGGCCTCGCATTTCGCATATAGATTCGGCCGACTGCCTAATGAGCTTTTGGCTGTTGGCCGCTGGCCACGTTTGGGCAGATGCCGGCCTGTGAGATCCAGTTGCTATGCCGTACCCCTTCCTTCCACTCTCCCTCTCTCCCTCTCTCCCTCTCTCTGGCTCTCCCGCACCGACCTCATGCCAGGGCCTGTCACGCGCCCCGTTTGCACGAGAATTTATTTAAAAAAATGCAATCGGCGCGCACACGCCCCCAAACGCAAAAGCCTGAACCAAAATGAGCGCTAATAAATTCACGCGCATATTAGTGGGGCGCATCGGGTTTGGGGCAGCGGCTTGGGCCCGTATCTTTCGCTCTCTGCACAGAAAAAAGAAAAGAGTCTACGAGTCTGGCATTAAGAAAATCGAATTTCCTGATTACAACAGGCAGCAGGCAGCAGACAGCACCTGGGAGCTGTGGAAGGAGGCGCTGTCCAAGCGGCGCAAATTGGCAACACTTTTAATTGAACGCCGCTGCAGACGTCGCTGCAACAGCAACTGCTGCTGCTGCTGCTGCTGCTGCTGCTGTTATTATTAACATTGCGGGCATAACGCCCCCAAAGCTAATGAACGCCAGAGGCTTTGATTTCTAACGCCAGGCGCAGTTAGAAAATGTTGCATGTAATTTGCAGCCAAATAGTCAACAACATAAATTGCAATAGATTACGTGTGCATAAAGAGGTAGGATCGGGTGCTTGGAGGGGGGGATGTCAAGTATTGCTTATAGATTGCGTGTCTATATGTGGGCGTTGCCACACTTTCCCATTTCGGTTCATATACAAATCGTCAACAAATTTAAATGAAATTACAAAAGGCAACCAACGCCTCAGAGCTGCACGTAAAATCAAAGCAAATTAACTGGAACGGGAATGGGAATGGGAAAGGGAACGGGAACTGGTACAGGAACTGTAATTGGATCTGGCTACTGCAACTGCCAGCAGTTTTTATGTGTGTGTGTGTGTGTGTGTGTGTGTACGCACAACCATAAATCAATGTGGGAAACTGTTCCAAGGGCAGCTGCTGTCGGCCTTTAACTAGCCAGGCGCTAGCCAGACAAATTTTGAGCCAGACTCTAAGCCGTTTACTGCTACTGCAACTGCTGCTGCTGCTGCTGCTACTGCTACTGCTTCTGCTACTGTTACTGGGGCATTGCCAGAAATTGGTTTAGAGAAAAATTCCTGTGTATAGCACGATGTTAAAACTAACTAACTAATGTATACTAACAGGCATAGACTAAATTAAAGCTAGAAATTAAAGCTATATCGATTAGATAATTAAAATATAAATAGCTATAAAATTAAAAAGAAATTATAAACAAATTTAAAAAAAATAAAAATAAATATATAAATAAGAAGTCGAAAAAAAACTCTTTTAGTTACTCCGTTTTACATTTGACAACACAGCAGAACACAGTAGAAAGCGTTTTGCAACACTAAAAACTAAATTACTTTTTGCCTGCGCTGTGGCTTTTCATTAAATTTAATTAGATTTCAATAAATTTAAAAAACTTGAATCAATTTATGTGCATTTCTCACGATTAAATGTTGTTTACTTTCATTTGTCTTCATATTTCTTACGAAAATAAAATAAAAGATGAACTAAATTATTACAAAAGAAAAAATTTGTATAAGAGTGCGCCAATTTGGTTTATTTAAGCAAAAAATATATAGTTAAATCTGTGATAAAAATTAATGCAAATAAGTAAAAGTAAATTGATAAAAATAAATGAAAGCAACGTAAAGAAAACAAATTAAACTAAGCCGGACAATTCCAAGCTAAGATCGTTCAAATAATTTAAATGCTACGAGCGTAAAAAGCCACAGCCACAAGGCTGCGCTCACAATTGCAGGTTTAGAAGAAATCAATAACAAATCAAATATGCTGCAATTTGTGCAATAATTACAAGAATATTTGCCAAAGAGTAAACCGAATGCAAATTACAGAAATTAGCGCACATTACAAGTGCGGGAGAGCAGCCTTCAAGAGGCAAGAAATACCCTATAAAAAATATAATAATAATAATAATAGTAATACTAATATTAACAACAACAAAAACAATAACAACTAGGCAAGAAGAAAAGCTAATAACCATGTCTGCCACAGCCGCAAATTGTGCGGATCAGCCCGAGGAGCAGCCGAAACCTGGCTCGGCACAAGGCGGGGCCACAGGTGGGTGCAGTTCGGTGCAGTTCGGTGGCGGTTGTTGGGGCAGTAGCGCAGGCAGCATCAAAAGGCTGCAACTGCAGCTGCAGCTTAAATTATATTAAGACATAAATGTGGCCAGATCAGAGGCGAGCGGTAAGCGGCATGCGGCATGTGGCATGGGGCATGGGGCATAGACTGTGCAGTGCACTTGGCAGTTGCAAGTTGGCGGTGGCCCTCTGCTGGGCACAGAGCACAGAAATAGCAACAGCAACAACAATGTAAAGTGCCGCAAGCGGCAAGGCAAAATTGCTGCAACAACAACCAAAACAACAACAACAACGGCAAAATCTATGCACACACATATATATAACGCAGGCGATATGCAAACATAATAATTTGCATATTTCGCCGCAGTGTTTTGGCGACCCAACTCGGCTCTGATGGTGGTCAAGAAGCAGCAGCAACAACAACAACAACAACCGGAATACTTTCAGGGAGTGGCCATAATAGAAATGTTAACCTTTTGCAACAGCGCCTCAGCGACCCGTCGTCTCTTTTTTCTCTCTTGTGTTCAAACTTTTGCTGGCAGAGTCGTCACACCTTTATAGTAAATGCTCACCCCTCCACACTCCACACTCCACCCTCCCAGCCCGAATCAGCCCCTCAGCCTTTGCATTGTTTCACTTTTTGCAGTTTGAGCGTCATGTGGCAATCGGTGCCTGTCAAACTGCGTGACTCACAAACATACATATATATATATGTATATATAATAAATACTACAGTCAGAGATATATTCGGGATCTGTGTAAGATATGGTGCACAACCAATTTCCTGTCTATAGCTTTAACAATCTACGTAATATGATAAAAAAAAGGCTATCGATATCGATTCTTATCGATTTTTCCGATAAACGTGGCGATGATTCGAAATAACTTTAAAAATTAAAAAAAATAATTCAGGAACAAATAGTTTGTTGTTCTCAAATACAAATTTTTTAAACTTTGAAATTCTATTTGAAAATCGTTCGAAGAGGAATGAAATATATTAAATGTCTTGGCCATAACTCAACGATTCTAAAATGTCTTTTAAATCTAAAACTAATTGACACAAAATAAAACTTAGAAAGCCCTTCATAGCATAAAATGAATATAATATCTGGACCATAGTTCGAAGGTACTTATAAATCTTTCATAACAAAAACTAATTAATAAATATTCCTGAAATGCATAGAATTTTTCAAAAGAATGCCTCAACATGAAAAGAAACTTCTCCATAGAATTGAAAAAATATAAAATAATATTAATATATATAAAAAAAATAAACATGATATTTGGGGAAAAAGTTCAAAGATGCTTTAAGTTCAAAATTCAAATACATTCAAGTTCAAATAATTGCAATTCTCTAGTAATCTAATCTGAATAATTCGAAAACTTATCCATATGGTACCTATGTATGTATATTACATAATATAAAAATATTTATGATCTGTAATTGATTGTTGTATCCAATATTCTAGCCGAGAGTGTAACAAAAGCTTTGCAGTTAACTTGTTTGGCCTTTGACGCTGATTAATGGCCAAATGGAGAAGTTTGGCAGGAAAAAATGGCTAAAATAAAAACTGCAGAAAAGCCCAAATAAAAATATGGCATTTCTAATTTAACAACTGCGCTTCAAATAAAAATTGCGTTTTTTGCCGACTGCTGCTATTTAATTATTTTCTTAGAGCTCATTTCAGAGGCGGCGGCAGCGGCGGCGGCGGCGTCGGCGTCGGTGACTGCGACTGCGACGCAGACGTCAGCGGGGGCACAGAGAGCGGGCAGCAAGCACACATCACATGTTGACCTTGATATTCGCATTCGCAGCGGAACCAACTTTGTGTGCAAGCGTCTGTGTGCCTATGTATGCGTGCGTGTGTGGCTGCCTGCCTGACTGTGTGTGTGTGTGTGTATGTGTGTGCGAAGCGGCGTGCAAAGCATTAAGCAAAAGCAAGCGCGTCAGCGTCAGCGCACGCAACGCAGCAGCTGAGAGCTTTAACGCCGTTTGTCGTTAGTGTAGCGTGCGAAACGACAGCAGCAGCAGCCAGGGCGGAGGCAGCGGCAGAGAAGGAGGAGATGGCAAAAGGCAAGGGCGCAGCGCGTTTGTAAAACCTGCGAGTGCGCGGGTGTATGTGTGTGTGTGTGTGTGCATGTGTGAGCAATGCGCATGAGAACCAGCGGGCGGCGTTAGGAGGGGAGGCGCGCACAAAATGTGAATTGCAAAAACGCAGGAAAAAATAAATAAATAAAATTAAAAATTATCTCATCAAATGTGGCAACTGTTTATTTTAAGTATTCTTTTTGTGCTTGCGGATTTTGGGTGCGTTAATTCTGTACACTTGAGCGTTGATTATGGTCATTATGATTTAGTTAATTAGCCAAATGCAAGCGGCAACAAACCACAAATCATAAATAAATGAATTCCATTTGTCATCAAACATCTTGGAACGCCTTTAAACTCATATTTGGTTGTTTTCTATCTTCCTCTCCCTCTCCCTCGCCACCTCTCACACTCTGTCTCTGTCTCTCTCTCTCTTTTCTGTTGACTGATTGCACGACGCCGCCGGACGTCGGACGAGTTGCGCTAATGCGACGATGACCTTGGAATTAGAGTCCAAACAAAATTAGTGTGGCGAAAACAAAAAAAAACAACAACAACAAAAGCCGAAGCAAGTGAACAGAAACCGACAACAAAATCTATACTTGTGAGGGAAGTCTCCAACAAGTAGAGACAACGTTTGAAGCTGTGTGTGTGTGTGCGTGTATGTGTATGATTTATGACACGCATATTTGCACACAAGCAACAGTGTGTACACATATATACATACATACATAAATACATGCATACTGTCATTCGCATGCTCTGTAGATCGATGCTTGCGTTTAATCGATATACATATGTATGTATTCATTTCGGATTCGTTTTCAGTGCTCGTTCACATGCCGCACACACATGCGCATGCAATCAGCTGTTTTTCACGTCACACGCATTTTTGTCGTCTCACGCACAATTTTTTTAAGCTCCAGACACAGACGCGCCCCCAAAAATACAAGAAACTCAAACAAAAACAAAAAAAAAAAAAAACGAAACATGCGTAGAGGCAGCGACGCAATGTCTGAGATGACGTCACAGCAAACAAGTTCGTGAGAGAGTGCGGTCGCACGCTTCGCATGCCAAAAAGAGCAATACAAGCGCACAGCAACAGCCAACGGTTAACGTTGACGTCGCTGTCTCTGTCGCTGGCGCTGTCGCGGCTGTCTGCCCACTTGTTGCCCACAAAATGACGCACAAAACGCATAAACCAAATGTATGTATATGTTTGCCTGTATGTAGCTGCTGCTGCTGCTGCTGCTGCTGCTGCTGCTGCTATCGTCTGCATACGTGCGTGCGCGCTGGTGTGCGTGAGCGCGTGCGTGTGTGTGTGCTTTGTGTGATTGAACGAGTTTTATATTTATACATATGCGGACATGCATACATACATATGCACGTTTCTATACATATTTATGCTTGTATGCATAAACAGCATTGACATTGAACTTGAACTTGAACGTTGCGTAGCGTTGCGTTGCTTTACGCACCATTCGTTGCTCTTGGCTTGCCATTGTTGTTGCTCTCGCGGCTTCTTATCAACTTGTGCCGTTATCTGATGATAAAAGCGTGAGCGTAAGAAGTAAGAGAACGTGGAAAGGGGGTGGGGCGGGGGGGGGGGGGGGTGGTTGTACAAACATTGCCAATAGTTAAAAGAGTGCGGCACACACGACTGGACTCCCATCAAGGTCGCAATGCAAATTTATGCGCACATGCGAGAGATTTATTTATGCGACGCCTGCGCTGCATTGTTTACAATTCGTAATTAATTTACGGCTGCGGCAGCGGCAGCGGCAGCTGTGACAGCTAATTGCAGGTAGTCGACGGGAACGACGGCGGCGCCACACAATAGCGTCTAAATAATATCCGCCCAATGGTCAGCAGAGAACACAAAATATTCAAAAAACAAAATAAAATAAATAAGAAGAGAATTTGCCAAAGCTAAACTGCTGCAGCGGGCAGCGAGCAGCGCTGCACGCACAAAAGACGCGCCGGAAAGTCGCTCAGTTCGCTTTGCGTCTGTCCGCAATGTCCGCTGCCATTGTCATTGTCTAACAACAATTGCGTGTTGTGTCTGTGGTCAGCAGCGGCTGCCAAAGCCTTTGTGGTCATCCATTTGGTAGCCGGAAGCTCGCAAGACGGCCAGCGACGCGTCGCAGCAGCAGCAGCAGCAGCAGCAGCAGCAGAAGCAGCAGGACAAAACGGAGCAGTGAGACAGACAATCGCAGCACTTGACCCGCCGAAATACCACACACACACACACACACACACACACGCGCGGGCGCACACATGCGAATGTTTAGAGAGACACTTTCAAGGTCAGCAACATGCGATTATCCCACGCTAAGCAAAGGGACAGCAGCAACTCTTCCTCTTGTCGCTGTTGTCCACCAAATAATAATTGAAAATTGAAGCAAAGCATAAACCAAAAATAAATCGAGTGTGGCGAACTGAGCGGTGCGAGGGAGATAGCCTGCATAGGCTATGTCGTGCTGATATTGGTTTGTGTTGTTGCTGTTGTTGCAGTTGTTGCAGTTGTTGTTGCTGTTAACAGTTTGTTGCAAATTGTAAAATGTTGCCAGCAACATAATTTAATTGACGCCGTTATGGGCACGGCCACAGCAACAACAGCAACAACAGCAACAACAACAACAACAACATGCGATCAGATCTTGAACTCGTTACAAGCATTTTGGGCAACGATTTGCAAAGCGAAACCGGAAAGAGAACGTTAACAGTTAATCGCCTCCATGCGAAGGAGTGGAAGTGCAGCACTGTGGGCAGCGCAGAGAAATGAGCGGGTACATGTGGTCTTGGTAAGGGGGGGTGGGGGGTTTCACTGAAACGAAAGGAGTTGGCAAAGTATTCGCACATGCATATGTGGGTTAAGCATGGAGCATGGTTTCCGATATAATGAATAATTAAAGACTTTTCATTTTTGATACCCTGTTCAGGCAGCGAGAAGAGTTTATTAGCTTTCGGCAATAACAGATTTGCTGTACCTTACGATTCCGGCCACTTGTCACTCTACTCGTCTCAGCCACAGTCATAGACTACTCATAAATACTTGGCCACGGCCAGACTCACGCATGCAATTTGCAAGCTGGATATTATTTGCCAAAATCAAAGTTTGACATTCACGGCTCGACTTTGTTTTATTGATACGAGTCACGACTGCAATATAATTGTTTTATACTCGCTTTACATATATTTGAAATATTTCATTTTTATTGCATATGGTTCTTCCTTTTAAATATCTTTTAATTTAATTTATTCCAAGCTCTACAAGTTTCTGTGTATTTTGTTAATTGAACTAATGGAAATAATGGAATACAACAGCTACAACTCTATTTCAAATCAAACTCAAATAATTTATAGCTTAATATAATCGATATGCAGCACTTAAGCTCTTGAGAATCGCATAGAAAGGCGATAAGTGCGCTGTTCACATTGCACTCAATATGTTCAATCGCCAACTTCAAACTGAGACATATGTGTGTGTTTATAAGCATTCATATTTGTTAATCTTCAAAAATTGCACACACTCACACGCACACCATAATTACACACGTATTTTGCCCAATTCAAGAAGACAAAAAAAAGAAAAAAATACATATATATAAACAAATAAATAAAATGTGTCTATATAGAGAGAAAAAACTTATTTAAGCTAGCGTTTAAAAACGCGCCAACGCATGCGCGTTTATTTTCAGTTCCTGTTGCTGACGTCAGTTGTCAAAAGACAACACAATTGTACAAAGTATTGTTGCTGCTTTTGTTGTTCTCGTTGTTGTTGTTGTAGTTGTTGCGGCTGTTGCTGCTGCTGCTGTTGCTGTTGCTGTTGCTGTTACCGGGCCACGCAGCTCGTGTCGCAGCTGACCTTCAAACTGGGTTTTAATTTTGCTGCGCTGCCCGGTTGCGTTTTGCCTTTATTGTTGTTGTTGTTGTTGCTAGTTGCCTGTTGCTGCCGCTTGTTGTTGTTCTTGTTGTTGCTGCTGCTGCTAGAAACTTATAAACGTTGCTTGGCATGGAGACCCGGCTTGGTCTGGCGGCAGCTAACAGATCGCCGCTCACCAACAGTTTGCATCGCTTGTGCAACAATTACTAATTATATACTCAATGCACACACACACACACACACACACATATATATAGATATGTATATATACTATACTAGTATGCATATACTACAAACTAATGCCAGCTGCTGCTGGTTGTTTTAATGAGATACGCTATCTCTCAATGCGCGTCTGTATCGCGGTTTTAGCCGCTTCCCTCTGCCGCCGCCGTCGATAGGTGCGTTTGTGTGTGTGTGTGTGTGTGTGTGTGTGTGTTTATATTTTTAGTTTTTATTGTGCTTAAATATAAAGAAAAGATATAAATCTGTTGAAAATGCGCATAATTATAGCAGCAGCTACAACAACAACACCTGGCCGTAGACCTGGGGCTAAGCTCCAGCCTCAGCGATCGGCGCAGTCGTGACAAGAAAAGTTGTTAATTTTAATTATACATTTTTTTCGTTCTCTCTAATTGTTATTTTTTTTTTTTTCTATTTTGCATTTTTCTGCCTAAACTTTTGTTGCATGC